CAGGATGGCATTGGTGGCAGGGGACCCAGGAGAGGACGCACAGGCTGCCAAATGGCACGGCCACGGTCTGTGACAGGACTGTCACGGACCATGGTTGCCGCTCACCTCCTGCTGTCTGGCCTGCTTATCAACAGGGGGTTAGGGGAACCCTGCTTTAAGGTACGGGTTCTGCACACACTTAGGCGCTAATACTGTAAACTCTGTGAGAGGACTGAATATGTTTCCACAGCCTGCACCTTACTCTTTGATGTAGCACACTATGTAATGATGAAGTTTTAATAGAAAGTCTATTTCTAACAGTGGTAGGTCGTTAACATTGAGCACATCATGATTAATGGATTTCAATGGAAAAACTGCAGTGCCTACTCCTGTTTCTGTACATCCTTCTACCTCTGTATCTGAGCGATTGGTAAATGGTAGTCAATAAAACCTTATCCCCGCCCCCCCCCCCAAAAAACAAAAACCCACACTAAAGTTAGGCTGGTTGCAGATTGAAATAGGCATTCAGTTAGGTGCGTGTAAAATAAATGGCATTTTGTGTCCGTGCACATAATACTGGATGTATAAATGCCAGATCTTCCTTGCAGTAAGTTCCTGCGCAAAAAAAACCCAAAAAAACCCCACAAGTATGGTCTATATGGTGCGTACATTTATACACACATACGTCCGTAAAAATGTATCTAGCTCACAGAATGCCAAATATTCAAAGAGTACGGGGGGTGAGGGGGGTTGTGCGATGTACACAAGTACAATACTAGCCAGTAACGGTAATTTTTTTCTTTTACTGATCTAAGCAAAATCACAAATTTACTGATATTGATGTGTCTCTGGGTTTATTTTATTTAAAGCTATGGGCTGCATTCAGATCAAAAAAAAAAAAAAAAAAAAAACCTAAAAAACTTGGACCTTTTCAGTGCCTGTGTGCAAGAGCTATTTGCTATAGCGTGGTGTATAATAAACAATTGCATTCAACTCTTCTGGGAAGGCTGTCCATCTACATGCCTGCACTTCAGTGTTGGCTGCTTGGCATTTCTCAAGGCAGTTTCCTGTTAATGAAAAACAGTGGGTCAGGTGTGTGTAATGGGTGTTGAAATGGCCACTGTTTGTCACCTTGTCGCACAGGTTTCCGATGGAGACTAAGCAGGAGCACAATCAGGGGACAGAGATAGGTTGTTACCCTATAACGGAAAGGGCCTGGACAGGTATCTTCATGGTAGGATTACTAGCATGTTCAAGCTTATAGTAGATTTTAGTAATTGGGTTTGCATACACTTTAGCCAGAGTTCTCCTTTAGCAGCAGTGGTACAGAAGGTTAACAGATAAAAAAAAACATTGTCCCTGAGCTACATGAGATATTAAGATATGAGCATCTTAAATGTGACAGAACATGCATTTACACCGCGTCTGTCGGGGCAACACATCATTAGTTACAAGAAAAATTGGTGTGGCGCTAAGACAAATATCACTAATCACACATATTATATATATTTATATAATATATAGACTATATAAACAGGTGCTATGAAAATAGTCATGCATATATAAAACTCTTGCATATCCCCCAACAGGGGCACGTGACTATATGCTTGTGATGGTAACACAAAAAACACCATGCAAAGGAATATAAAATTCCTACAAGTGACAGAGGTGCATAAATTACAGTCCACTACACACAAAGACTGTGATCCTTTAAACAAGCGTGAAAGTGCCACTGGTGTCACTGATGCCTATATCCATTTACCTGGTCCACAATATGGTTGCTAAAGCATGTTGCTGATATATTTTAAGTACCCAATATTCGGACTCCGAGAAAATGGCCGTGGTGGGTTGGTCAGATGACTGATTGACACCCCGGCGGCCTATAAAGTGTAGTGATCTCAGTATGGGCGGTCACCCTGATGAAGTCACGTGTTATTCGTGACGCAACGCGTTGGTACGCCCTGACGACACTTCCGGTACGCGGTGACGTCATTTCCGACGCACGCGCCATATTGGGACTCCGGGTACACCCATAGCTCGAGGATACAGGAGGATTATTCTAAGGCTGTATTCCTTATATGGACATGTGAGTAGGCATTCTGTTTTATACATTTTTACCAATAAATATTGCGGTATCACGCTATGGCAAGTCTCTTCTTATGTCTCTGAGCATCATCTGGTGGTCTAATACCACCACTATATAGCAGCTGGAGGTGGCATTTGGGATAACTGCGTCTGAGGTAGCATCCAGTGTGGACCTGTACCGGCTGGCATTCGAGGAGTACACCTATAAGGTGCAAAGGCGTATTGGCCCTTGTGGTCAGTGCGGGGAGGTGAGGAGGCACTCTTACCATTTCTGGATTGTGGCATCAGTGACACCAGTGGCACTTTCACGCTTGTTTAAAGGATCACAGTCTTTGTGTGTAGTGGACTGTAATTTATGCACCTCTGTCACTTGTAGGAATTTTATATTCCTTTGCATGGTGTTTTTTTTTGTGTTACCATCACAAGCATATAGTCACGTGCCCCTGTTGGGGGATATGCAAGAGTTTTATATATGCATGACTATTTTCATAGCACCTGTTTATATAGTCTATATATTATATAAATATATATAATATGTTTGATTAGTGATATTTGTCTTAGCGCCACACCAATTTTTCTTGTTTCTATATGTACTTTTTGGTGTAAAGGAGGGTGTTGGCAGCTTAGTGTAGGTTTTTTCTTCATCTGAAGCGCAGGAGGTTTTATTATAATTTTTACATCATTAGTTACACGCTGATCCTGATTAATAAAATAATTTGTGATTTATTTTAGATTAGAATAAATCCTGTTGTATGTATGTATGTATGTATGTATGTATGTATGTATGTATGTATGTATGATATCTCTCTCATATAAAGAAAAGGCATGTCTAACTTAGAAATAATATTTGTTTAGAATCAGCCCTACATTGTGTGATGAATGCTGTGTTTGCTTACCTGAAATTATATCCAGGAGAGACATTGTGGTCTAGTTCTCTGTTGTCCAAGCGTCGAAATGAATACTTTGGAACACAGTATGTATGCTTCTTGTCCAGATCACAATTCCAGCTAATCTGGATTCCCATAACTCCACCCTTAAACAGCATGACAAACATCCAAATTTTACTACACTGTGCTAAGTAAAAAGGTAAATAGCAAGCCGCTGTACAACTGTTAATGGATAACCGTTCCTATAAGATGCAGTGCAAAGGAAAGCTTCTGTCAGCTTCTGAGTCTTTCATGCAAATCAAGGGTAGCCGGCACCCGCTCCCAAACCACATGCAATACTTTATTTCACCAAAATGGAATACAAACAGTCCTCCACACTCTCACATTTCAGTGGGTTTTAATCCTAGCCTATGGAGGGCTGAAACGCGTGAACGTGGGAGGACAGTTTGTTGTATTCCATCTTCGTGAAATAAAATATTGCATGTGCTTTGGGAGTGGGTGCTGCCTCCCCTGATTACATTATGCTAATAAAATTAAATGTTGGGCAGCACAGTGGCTAAATGGTTAGCACTTCCGCCTGGTACTACTCGGGTCGTCGGTTCGAATCCCAACCACGGCACCACCTGCCTGGAGTTTGCATGTTCTCCCTGTGCTTGCGTGGGTTCCCTCCGGGTACTCCGGTTTCCTCCCACACTCCAAAGACATGCTGGTAGGCTAATTGGCTCCTGTCTAAATTGGTCCTAGTATGTGTATGTATGAATGTGAGTTAGGGACTTTAGATTGTACGCCCCTTGAGGGTTAGGGACTGATGTGAATGTATAATATATATGTAAAGCGCTGTGTAAATTGATGGCGCTATAGAAGTACCTGTAATAAATAATAATGTAGGTCTACAGCCCAAAAATGTAGTAAAGGATAGAGCAGGGGGTGGAACTAGAAATCACAAGGCCCCCATAGTACATTTTTATTAGATTTCCAACAGAAAAAGGAAACCATTGTACAACATCCTAATTCGTAATGGCAATATCCTAATTAGCATGGCAGGTGACAAAGGACCGAAGAGGATGCGGCAGTGATATTGTGCAAAAGGAGTTATTTAACATACAGACAAGTATACAGACCCAATGGCAAAGAGTGCAGGGGTTAAAAGTGAGTAATGAAACAACCCAGTACATACAGTGCAGGGGTCAGGATTGACTAATGTACAGCCTAGGGTGCAGGGGTCAGGAGAGTACATCATACAGCCCAGAGGACAGTGTGCAGCACCACCTACAAGAGAGTTAAACTCCACCTAGCCACTTTATTCACAGTCAACAGCTTCCCCATGAATCGCTTCATTACACCCCCGCCCTCCAGAACTAAAACAGCCCAAGCTGCTCATTTAAAACTGAAGCAGGCACAGAGAGCAGTCCTTACAGTTCTCCGCAATGGTGATGCCAACCAGTAGCAAAAAGTTGATCGTAGTATAGCATAACTACATGCTATCTGTCAATCCCTCTCTGCTTCCAGCCTCTCTTTTTCAATGTTGCTGCTCCTATATGTGTTGGTGGGGTGGAGCACAGAGTGAACAGTGGGAAAGCGACCCATGGGAGTATTTTGCTGGCCTGCTGTTGCCCTGAACTCTCCCCCAGCCCATCTTCCTACTACATGTTTATGTCTCTCCAAAAGAACTTGATAGTTGCACCACATTTGACAAAACATGCCCTGAGCAGCCCAATGAGCGTTAGTTCAGAACACCCCAATGTGGCTCTCCCACAGGACACAAACCCCTCCCCCCCCCCAAAAAAAAAAAAATAAATAAAAACCATACACCACTTCTAATCACTACCCCAAACATTATAACAGCTTGGATAAAAATTTCAGTGTTAAAAAAATAAGCTTGATGTAATGCACTGCCTCTCATCCTGCATAACAGGCTTCATATCCTTTACGCTTCCCATTTTCACCATGGAGCTTACAGTAAAACGTGTGGGTGAGGCTTAGGCTTTTTTTTTTTTTGCTACCCAGCGATAGCCCCGATAACTCCAAATCATACATCTATGGGCTTGCATTTCCCCAACCACACACCTGAATAGCCATTTCCTGGAAGGATTCTCCAGATTCTTCCACCATAGCACCCAGCCGGAATATAGGGCAGAATGGATCCTTCACCCGATTGTACTGACAGCTCTTGAGGTAATCAGTGCTGATATTCGGTAAGATGTTTCGTCTGCGAAAAAAAAAAAATACTGGAATTTAGAATACATTTAAATACATGATCAAACATAAAAGTTTAAAAAAATATAAAGCAAAAAAATGGAATATGAAATATAATTAAAAAAAAAAAAAAAAAAAAAAAAAAACTATCTATATATCTCTTTTAAAGTTGCCACACCTCTTAAAGCCGGACAGAATATTTGCTTTTGTTTGTGAACACTCTATTAGTCATGTTCTGCTTTATTAGTTCCTAGGTTTTCTATTAAAAAGTTTTACCTTATACAAAACATTCGCTTCACACTTACTTGGAGAATTTAAATTTTGGGTACCAGATATTATTTTTTATGAGAACTGTGAAGTTTTCAGCATCCTTTAGAAAAGCAGGTCTGAAACAAGACATTGACATACAAGTCAACACCTCAAATGTATAAACAGTACAGAAAACAATATATTAAAGGATAAGTAGTATTATTGCTGCTAACTACCAGTCAGGGTCACTCACTCTGGCACCTTCATGTCATTTTCCACTGGACACCAGGCGAAAACTTCACATGTGCGGATTGTCTTGTTATATGATACACACCGTCCAGTCTGTAAACCTGTACAGTGAAAAGTAAATGAAATGCCATTGTGTCACAGGAAAGGATAAAAAAAAAAAAAAAAAAGTATTAAATGCAGTTATGAAATCCGTAAAAGCAAGTACTGTATTTTTAAATGCAGCTAGGCCAAGTGCCTAAATGTTTGCCTTTATATCAGCTTCTTGTGATTCTTTGTATAGCAGCTCTCAGACTGGGAGAAGGGACAGCATTAGACATTAGACTGCTGCAGTACACAAATGCATCCAGTGAAAATGATGAGAAAGACAGCAGAGAGATACTTCATTAGCGTTTTCCTTTTATTGGCCAATCAGCAGGCTGGATGTGTGTTCTTGACCAAGCTGTGCTGGTGCTGCATTACAAGTCCATGATCTAGCTATGTAGCCTGGCAGTCTTCATGGCTGTCTGAATAAAATTGCAATTCCTGTTCAAGTTCTCATATATGCATTTCAATACATATATTTCAATGATTCAAAATAGCGAGGGCAGAGACAGCCAAGCAACTAACACTTTCAGAAGAAAGTCAGTGTGGGCTGAACAGTGGCCAAGTGGTTAGCACTTGTGCCTAGCTGTTAGAAACCACGTAGCCCCATACAGCCAACCTGACATGCTCCCTCCTCCAAAACAAACAGAGTTTACTATGCTTCAGTTATGAACACAGTAAGTGATCATTTATTGTGTTCATTCAGGAAAGGAAGAGGCTGGTAAATGTGACATGTACTGGACCCTTCCCCCACTCTTCATCCTGAAGGATCCTGTTGTGCGCTTGCAGCTGCCAGTGGGAAGCATGCAGCTCTGCGGGTGTGGGGGCACACAAAGGGGCCTGGGCAGCAGGGGGAAACCTATGGTGCATAGGGAGAGTGATCGGTGCACCGGAGGGGAGGGCAATTACTGGAACTGATCCCCTGTATGGCTCCTCTCTGCAGCAGCTGAAAGCCAGTGGGATGGAGAAGAGAAGAAGCCAGCTTTAGGCTGCTGCAGAGAGAGCCATACAGGGGATCTGTTCAAGTAATCCCCCCTCCCCCTTGCACACGCCATGCCAATCACCCTCCCTGCTCACATCAGATTCACCCAGCTGCCTGGGTCTCCTTGCTGGCCTGGGCCCCGTACAGGAGGACTAGTGGGTCCCCCCTTATCCACGGCCCTGGTAGCAATACTAGAGTTGACAGTTTGAATCCAAACCATGGCACTGCCTGCAGTTTGCACTTTCTCCCTGTGCGGGTTTCCTCTGGGCACTCAGGTTTCTTCCTGAGCTCCAAACGACATGCTGGTAGATAAATTGGCCCCAGTATGTACAAATGTGAGGTAAGGACCTTAGACTGTGCACTCCTTGAGGGTTAAGGGCTGATGTGAATATATACAATATGTGTAAAGCGCTGCGAACATTGATGGTACCTATAATACTCAGCCTCTGTAATTTTTTTTTTTTTTTCCCAAGTTTCCTTTAAACAAGACAGAGCTATCCAGCCACAAGAGGCAGATGCTATGAAAATGGTAAAATAAAGTAAAATTAGCAATTACTATAAACCATACATTTGAGTTCATACCATTGCTGTAAGTTCCCACAAGTCCACGTATACATTTATGACTGAAATTGCATATGGTTTTGGTATCTGGGAGCTGAAAAAGAACCACAATCATAAAATATGATAAACAATCACGAGAACCAGGACCAGAATCATAAATCCTCACAAAATAAAATCTTAACATGTACATCAAGCCAATGTTTTTTCCACGTTTGAACATTGGCGGAAGGATCACAACTCCTGCTGGATTTTTACTGCTATCCAGGGCTCCTCACTTCTCGTCTTGCTGACAAGGTTTTCACCAGACAGGAAAGAAGTGAAAAAACTTAACATGATAAAACTTAAGTGATAAAACAGGAACAATGGAAACAAGAAATAAAAGGAACAACAAATACAAATCTGATTGGGGTTCTAGTCTTCCCCTTTTCTACTAAATAAAATCAGGTGTTGTAACCTTCTCTACAGCCCCCTTCTCCATCCGAACTAAGAACAAATTTTGGCAAGGCATACACTTTGTAGGTTTCTATCAAGTGACAGCATAAATACAAAACACTTAAAATCAGCATCATTGGTTGTTTCCAATTAATGATGAAAGGGTGTGCCAGGCACAGCAAGGCTGGGAAGGAAAGGGCTAGATGATACTGGATGTCCCCCAGCCAGGAAATTATGCAGACTCTGACTTACTGCAAATTCTACTGCACACTGTAGGAAGCTCAAACTGTGCAGGGAAATCATAGCAAGTCATTTCAATTCAGGATAGGACTGTGTACAACTGTGCAAGACTGAAGGCAAGGCTGGAGTTCAGTGGTCAATTATTTCCAAACAAATATTCCCAGTTCTGTGATCAGGTATGTACCAGCTGGGCTCACCTCAGGACAGTAGCCTTGGCTTTGATTCTGTGTCAGAATTAGATTGGTCATCACAAAGAAAGCATTTTCTTCCTATATTAGGAGGGGAAAAAAAATATTTTATTTACGGTGACCAGATGGAAAAATAATCCCATACAAGCCTTCAAAGAATTCATACTGCAGAATATTTTGTGCACGGACATACAAGCCTTTTGAATTTGTAATAAAAAGGAAACCTCTACCAAGAAATATGGAACAGCCAATAGACCTACAACAGGCCTGCATATCCCTACCACACATACAATAAAACAGCCCAATACAAACAGACTAAACACACAAGGATCTATGGCAATGTAATGCAGTCTAGATAACAGCATGACAAAGGTTGAAATACATAGCAGATTATGTGCATGCTGGTGTCAAACACAAGATTTGCTTAAAAGGCAATGATCACCTTTAGGAACATGCTACACCCGTATTAAGGGCAGCAGCCAGGGCTGCTGTTAGAAACCACGGGGCCCCATACAGCCTGACAGCCCCCCCCCAAAAAAATCCAACAGTTTACTATGCTTCAGTTATGACTGAAAAAGTGAGTGACTGGTACCGTATTGTGTGCTTCCAGCTTCCAGTGGGAAGGAGGAGGGGGGAAGCCAGCAGTACTGCAGAGGTGGAAGCACACAGAAGGGGGGGGGGGGGGGGGGACGTTGGCAATTACTAGAACCAATCCCCTTTATGGTTCCCTCTGCAGCAGCTGACAGTCAGCGGGAGGGAGAGGAGAAGAGGCCAGCTTTCAGCTACTTCAGAGAGAACCATACAGGGGATCAGTTCCAGTAATTGCCCCCACCATGCTGATCATCCTCTCTGCCCACATCCGATTCACCCAGCTGTCTGGGCCCCCCTGCTGGCCTGGGCCCCGTACAGGAGGACTGGTTGTACCCCCTTATCTATTGCCCTGACAGCAGCCCACACTAACCCCCAATCCCTCATTGTGACAGTGGGTGTCAGATAGTCTTCCCGCACCCACTGGCACAATTCAAAAACAGCATGGCTGCACGCCCATTAATTCACATACTGAATAAATGAACTACAAGTCCCATCTTCTAACATGGCATATATCTTGTAGTTCTCAATGAACCGCGAGGGTGCTGATGAGCGCCCTTGTAGCGAATTGATTCTTCCTGTTCTTAGATAAGTATCTGCCTGTATAAGAGGTACGGGCAGACGTCTGTACTTAGAATCTGCAGCATCCTGACAATGTATCAGAGATCTGCTGATCGCAGGTACAATGCTCTGTAGGCGCCTAAGAAAAAGAAATTAAAAATTGTTAATACACAATCTGTGGACACATTTCTGAAGCAGCTCTTTAGATTTTGAAATACATTCTGTCCATTGAGTAATAACTTTTGTGATGTATGTTTACCATAGCTGATAGCTTCCCTCACTTCTCACATGATGAAACCCTTGTGATCCTAATACAGGGAGGGGAAATCTCTATAAAAAAAAAAAAAAAAAAAAAAAACACAGAGCCCTGGATGGCAGTAGAAACATAAAAGAATTTCTAATTCTTCCAAAAAAAAAAAAAAAAAAAAAAAAAAAAAAAAAAAAAAAGGCAGGTTATCCCCTATAATGTGTGGTCGCTCCCCTCAGGAGGTGTGTCCTCTGGATTAGCCCAGCCCTGTTTCTTTACTTTTGGAGGGGAGGAGCATACTGGGTCTTCAGCAGCGTCAGGGACATCAGGATGCAGCTGAAAAGGAGAAGCGCTCCTACTAGGGGGGGCTGGAGGATGAAAGTGTTGGGGCATAGGGTCTGGATTGGACAGCATGGAATTCTAGCATGTAAGCAGTACCACAGCGCCCCCTCCTGTCTAGCTAGTGACTAGTCACTATGATTGCCATGATGTGGATGACCTTTACCTTGCAACTTTTTTTACCAATGTGTGGAATTTGTTTATATCCTGTTCAGCGAACGGTGTTGCCAACTTGTTATGCCCGTTTTGTTTGTCAAGTAAAGTTCAAAGCAAACTCACTTAATGCCTAATCCTTGAGTAAGCCAGGGAACATAGGAAATGTGATACAGTAGGTTCAGCCTCATCGGGGGAAGGAGAAGTGAACATGTTCATTTGTGCACACCTGGCCTGCTCAGGAGCGGGTGGTTATCAGAGAAAAGGAGTCACCCCCCCAAGCAGTGACAGCTAACCCCTCATTGAACACGTGCCAGATGACTTGGGCACCCATGTAGCACAGGTCCTGAGTGTTCAGTTGAACTCCTGGTGCTCTAGTCTGGACCATGAAAATAGTAGGCCTACAGAAGAAGTTCTCCAGGTGCAAGGGGCTAATGTGGACAGTGACCACTGAGATGTGACAGTAAGGTTTTGGATCAACATCTATACATATGTAGTCGGTGTGTGCTGAGGCGTTGACTATTGGAGTGACCCTAAAGTTCTGTCTGTGGGGCCAGCTACATGTGCTAGCCACGTCTTGGGAAGCTGGACAGCCTGCTTTATACACAAGACTCTACAGGCAGCCTATATTGATTAGAATAGCTTGCAATATCCAATTAATTGACAGACTGAAGGACAGTTCCTGTAAAATTTCATCAACATACAATATTCCACCCAAGCCTTGAGATATTAACCCTATGTTAACACAGAAAGTGAGCACATGTAGTTGACAACTCCTAAGGATAATATGCCAGCATAGTGCAGACAGGATCAATTATGGTAAACATAACTCCCCAGTAAAACAAAACCCATGAGAACCAATTTAGAATTTTTTTTTTTTTATAGTTCTGTTATGTGAAAGGGAACATGTAACAAATATAAAGTTATCCCAACTTGGCAGCAAAAGTGGAAATACTTTTAAATACTTTATGGTGGTAAGAGAGGGGATAGAGAAAGACATGAACCCTACCAATGGATTTGCCAGTTTGTGATTTAGGGATCACCATTAAAAGAAATCTCAGTTCCTGATAGAGTGTCCTTCTAACAATAATGAAAATAGTAATATTAAGTGGGTACAATACATGCTCATCACACGTCAGAAACACAGCTGGTTAGTACAGTACGTCTTATTAGGAGACTACACTGCTCTGAAATGCTGAAGCACTGAGCCAGCAAATAACTGTTACACTGTAAACTGTAGTAAGCCAACAAATACACTATATTGCTAAAACTATTGGGATGTTTCCTTTACACACACATGAACTTTAATGGCATCCCAGTCTTAGTCCGTAGAGTTCAATAATGAGTTGGCCCACCCTTTGCAGCTATAACAGCTTCAACTCCTCTGGGAAGGCTGTCCACAAGGTTTAGGAGTGTATCTATGGGAATGTTTGACCATTCTTCCAGAAGCGCATTTGTGAGATCAGACACTGATGTCGGACGAGAAGGCCTGGCTCACAGTCTCTACTCTATTTCATCCCAAAGATGTTCTATTGGGTTGAGATCAGGATTCTGTGCAGGCCAATCAAATTCCTTCACCCTAAACGCACTCATCCATGTCTTTATGGACCTTGCTTTGTACACTGGTGTGCAGTCATGTTGGAACAGAAAGGGGCCATCCCCAAACTGTTCCCACAAAGTTGGGAGCATGAAATTGTCCAAAATGTCTTGGTATGCTGATGCCTCAAGAGTTCTCTTCACTGGAATTAAGGGGCCAAGCCCAACCTCTGAAAAACAACCCCACATTATAATCCCCTCTCCACCAAACTTTACACAATGCAGTCAGGCAAGTACAGTTCTCATGGCAACCGCCAAACCCAGACATGCCATCGGATTGCCAGACAGAAGCGTAATTCGGCACTCCAGGGAACACTTCTCCACTGGTCTAGAGTCCAGTGGTGGCGTGCTTTACACCACTGCATCAGACGCTTTGCATTGCACTTGGTGATGTAAGGCTTGGATGCAGCTGCTCGTCCATGGAAACCCAATCCATGAAGCTCTCTACGCACTGTTGTGCTAATCTGAAGGCCACAAGAAGTTTGGAGGTCTTTAGTTATTGACTCTGCAGACGGCGATTTCTGCGCACTATGCATTGATACCACTCTGTAATTTTACATGGCCTACCACTTTGTGACGGAGTTGCTATTGTTCCCAGTTGCTTCCACTTGTTCAAATACCACTAACAGTTGACCGTGGAATATTTAGTAGCAAGGAAATTTCAAGCATGGACTTATTGCATAAGTGGCAACCTATGATGGTACCACGCTTGAATTCACTGAGCTCATGAGAGCGACGCATTCTTTCACAAATGTTAGTAGAAGCAGTCTGCATGCCTAGGTGATTGATTTCATACACCTGTGGCCATGGAGGTGATTGGAACACCTGAATCCAATGATTTGGAGGGGTGTCCCAATACTATTGGCAATATAGTGTATATTCAGAACTGGCAGTTAATTTCTTCTTAAACATTTTGGTCAGCCTCTACAACCTAGATTTCATTCCAGTGATTCCACCCAAGCTGTCTTCATGAAAAAGTTCTCTCTAATCTACAGTGCAGAGTCTGAAGGCCAGCTCCATAGTCCTTATTTCTTAAAGTAGATCTTCGCTTATTGCAAGAGCATAACCCCATCCCTTTTACACATTTTCCAACTTGTTTTGGGCAGCAAGTACTTTTCCAGCAGGTACTTGCCGCTGACCTACCCCCCCACTCCTCACCTAGGTGAGGAGGACATCACTTTAATTCATATGACATTGAGCACTCTTTGATCCATCAACACCTCAGAACTTTCAAAAAGCCTCAGAATTTTGCAAAACAATGACCTGAAAAGGGAGGCACCTAAAAAAGGCAGCATGTAGTTTCAGATACCTTTCAAAGTGACCTTGGAGCGATGAAATGCAAGGGACTCTATTATTTAAGTCTGAGCTCAGGCCTGCCAGCCTGGTGATTCTATGGTCCAGCTACAGTCAGGTCCATAAATATTGGGACATCAACACAATTCTAACATTTTCGGCTCTATACACCACCACATTGGATTTGAAATGAAACGAACAAGATGTGCTTTAACTGCAGACTGTCAGCTTTAATTTGAGGTATATACATCCAAATCAGGTGAACGGTGTAGGAATTACAACAGTTTGCATATGTGCCTCCCAC